TGTTATGTCAGTCTTATGCACACCCCTTCAAGTAAAGTGTTACCGTGTATATCACCACATAAAAGTATTTTGTTGAGCCACTAGACTGTAGAAATGCTCTCCAACTATTTCAATCTTAAAATCCCCCCAGAGTTTTAGGGTTTAAGTAATTGGTTCACTCTGGTGGAGACTGTGTTGGTGCCAACTGGCAGAAGAGAAGAAGTTTCTCTGAACTATTGTCTCTGCACTCTGTGCAAGTCCTCACAGGTGTCTTATCGATCCGGTAATCTCTGAGCTCCTTCAGTGTGATAATTGGCCTCTCTGTGGCTTCTCTCACAAACATCTTTGTTCATGCAGAGTTGTAGAGGGACAACCAGTTCTAGGCAGAATTTGGGTTTATAACATCTACTTCCTCATAATTGAACCAACAGTGCCAGATGGGACCTTCAAAGACAATATATGGCTTTGTTTTATTTGTTTTTGGAATGGCCTTTAGTGTTTGTTTTTTTTTACAGGTAGAGGCAATTATAAGTCAATGTTGTCCTTGTTTTTGTACCATGCATTTTGAGACCTGATAATATGATGGCACTCTTGGAGTACCATGAACATTATATTTATGTATATGTATTACTAGTGACAATTAATTGACTTTAGTTTTAAGGTCATTAGACTTAAAATGTCTTATTTTCAACTAAGAATAACACATGGTTATGTATGTTTTCCAGTATGCATAGTTCAATATGAGCTCTCTTCCTTCTCTCCTAAGGATTCACATACTTCTACAAGGGGAAGGAGTATTGGAAGTTCAACAACCAGCGGCTGAGAGTGGAGACAGGCTACCCAAGGTCTATCCTGCGTGATTTTATGGGCTGCGACAGCTTACCCACCGACCCTGACTGGGATTGGATCCCCCCACAGGAAGAGGAACCTCCACAATATGACAATGATGACGTTGATATCGTACTCAAGCTAGAGAGCAGCGGTGGAGCAGAGAAAGCGGTGGCCATCGCCATCCCCTGTGTCCTGGCTCTGTGCATGATGGTGCTGCTTTACACCGTGTTCCGCTTCAAGAGGAAGGATACACAGCGCCACATACTGTACTGCAAGCGATCCATGCAGGAGTGGGTCTAAGATTTAAAGGTCCCACTCCTTCTGCTAAAACTATTTCCATCTTTAAAATCCCGTCAAATGTCAAAAAATTGGCTTATATTGAGACACTGACTTTGTGTCAGTATTTGTGGGCAGAAACGAAGGACGATATAAATGAACAGCGTGCCAACTTCCTGTTCCCACTGTCAGCTTACGAAGATGGCAATGTGTTGTTTTTGTATGGTTTTGGAACGCTGTGTGGCTTTGGGCGGCCATTTTGGTTCCCAGAGTCATATGCGGGAGTAAACTGTTACTCTACAAACCATAGTTACCAACTTTTCAATTGATTTGAGAAATATTTATCATCAGACTGCTGAACTAGATACTCCATAAGGTTTGAACTCACCTGTGTTACTTCGAAATACTTGCTTGTGTTGAAAAACTGTAACCCAAACCAAATATGCCCTTAGTGTCCAAAGAGGATTGCTTCATTCTCATGGGATATTCTGAGATGACTGGCTTATCGATCATTATTTGAGTTCCATTTGGCTGCATTCATCTGCAGAATATATGGGATCTGTCTGCTTGGAAATCAGATGGACCTTGACATATAACATCGGGGCTACATGCAATATTTCGTCAAATGCCTTAATCACATATTGAGTTAATTTTTCTGTGTGTTATTGTACATGTGCCTGTGTGAATGTCACCCCTTTCCATTACTTCCTTTGCTTATCACTGTTTTTTATTTTTTTTGGCACACTACTGACTGACGGAAACTTGCAGTAAGATTTAAAGTGCCACTGTCTGTTTAAAGGTTTAATTTAAAATGTGTGTGTGGCTGCTGTCCACGTTCTGTACTGCTGCGTTTTTTAAAGACTCCAAAGCTGCAGCACAGAAAATTAGACTTTTGGTTAAGTGCTTCCAATCAAATCATAGGGAATTTATTTAACGAAAGATTGCCATTAAGCAGAAATACCTAATGAAACTTCAGTAAGAATCAATAGATTATCAACCATAAAAATAACATGAAAATATTAAAGGTATATAAAAAACACTGATATTGGAAGTTTGCAATGCAATACGTAGACTAGATTTGCATTTCCTGAACAAAATGCTTGTACTTTCAAGGAAGCTAGAGAATTGTGGTAAAGTTTTGGGTAAATTTGAGCTTTGAGCTTTGGTTTGGTGTATGAAGCTGCATTATCAGCGCCATCATGCATCTTCTTTTGACAGTGTTGGAGAACTAACCCATAATATAAGATTGTCTTTGAGGTGTAAAGCCAGTTTTGACATGAAAGTTTAGCGTATGTGTACAGCTGAATGCATTGCCATATTCCATTCATTATTGTGCGTAAATACAAGTGATTGACACATGCACCCTAGTAAGTTTCACTACTGAGTTTCTAAACATGATGAATGAGCATCAAATACCACTCCGAAGTGCACATGCTCTCAAGTGGCCAGGACTGCAAGTGTGGGTATTGGGACAGGCCCAAGGTTAGAAAAATCTGACTGCATGCATAGAGTATGCGCATACTATGCTGATGAAATTTACGACATGTGCACTGTACACATACCCTAGTGTATGTATAAAAACAGAAGTATACGTTAAGCTTAACAATAATGTAGCCATATTTAATTTGACACAAATCAAAACGACGCAGTGGGCCATAAAAACACAGTCTGTTCAATGGGTTGTACCTCACTGTCAATCATTCAGCTGTCAAAACAGAGAAAATATTCCAAAACATTTCAAGTGGAAAGAAAACTTGTACCACCTATCGCATGTCTATTTTCCACATCATTATTTTAAAATTTGGTTCAAATTAAATATACTTTTAATAATATAATATAATATAATATAATATAATATAATATTATTAAAATTTGGTTCAAATTAAATATACTTTTAATAATATAATATAATATAATATAATATAATATATATATAATATAATATAATATAATATAATATAGATGCTAAGAACAGGCCAATCTGAATGCAGTCCCAAGCTGACCAATCCATATATATATATACATTAAATAAATAAATACATTGACAAAAAATTTTGTTCTGAGTTTAAATTATTTTATCACTGGTGAACGTGATTTCACCAAGTACAATATGTTCCTTGATCCTGGAAAAAAAAACAAAAAACATTCCAATCAACCAATCAGAATTGAGGGATATGTTTCAGGGACTGTCAGTTTTAGGCTTACAACCAGGGTAAGGTGCTTGCACACCCTTGTTATTCAGCTATCATTTGCCTCTGATTTTAGGAATAAATTATGGTTAGGGTTAGGTTTAGGGGAAGTGAAGGGGTTAGGTCTATGTTTTTAGACAGTAATGTTGATCCAGGATCAACAAAATATGTTAATCCAGGCACGTCTTACTTGGCGACCCATTTTCACTATAGTTGATAGCTGAGTTGCAAGATGGCACCAGTTGTGTTTGTATGAAATGAGAATGGATGTCTGCGGTGTGATACGAGAGACATGAAAGTAGTGCCATTTTCAGTTACCCTGATGAGTGGTCTGATATACAGCATTGCTGTAAATGGTGAATATTAGGAAATATTTGATGCTTAATGCCATGATTTAACAGTCAGAAAAGAAGAACAAAAAGAGACGTTTTATTATAGTGCTGCATTGCAAACACCCAGTGTTTACCTGATAAAGTCCAATATTGAGGGTCATAAAAATATAAAAAATAGCATTTGTTGCACAGCTAAAGGGAGCTATATTGAGCTATACTGCATTCTGCAATCAGAGAAATAGCTTTACTGCTTATTTCTGTTGAAAAAAAAATGCTTTCCATGTAAAAATGTTTGTTAGCATGATCATCACTAAACACATCAAATGTTGCCATCGAGTGTTTCTTGGAAGTGGAGTGATGTATATTGTCATATGCCTTGTTTTATCTTTCGTTTTATGAACTGATTTATAATGGACTATGGTGTTTCTCGCCATGCCATCAGTATCAGCCTTCCAGTTGCACAATCATGAGACGTGCACATGAATTTCCATGCGTGAACTGTTGTTTTCATTATTAACAGAAGAATATCTCAAGAATATGCCCCGTTCTACCTTTGAGTATTGGATGTGTATCTGAACATGCTGTATATATATATCTCATGTAGTGTCTTTATTACGGATATGAAAGGCAAATTATGCAGTACATCAATAATAAGATATTATCAGATGTGGCGTGTGAATCATTCTTGTGAACTCTAATGGAGAAGTTAACAAAATGTACCAGGCAACCATAAGACATTAACATGTAATTTATCACTGAGATTCACGAAAGGTTGTTTGGATGATATAATAAAACAGTTATATATTAAATAATTTTGCTGACTCGTGAAAATATTGTCTCTGTAATATCACTTTATGTTGTAAGGGGGAACTTAATGGACCAGTAAGATCCTCGGGAAGGTAAGATATTTTTAATGTTTTTGAAAGAAGTCTTATTATTTCAATTTAAAATAACTGTTTATTATTCTAATATATTTTGTAATATCCTATATTACTGATGGCAAAGCTGAATTTTCAGTAGACATAACTCTAGTCTTCAGTGTCACATGATTCAGAAATCATTTTAATATGCTGATTTGGTGCTCAAGAAACACTTCTTACTATCATTTTTGAAAACAGCTGTGCTATTTCTTTCAAAAACGTTTGGCCCCAAACTTTTAAATAGGAGTCTATATACGAATATATACTTTTGAGTATGATTTTTAAATTCATCCTGTTGCACTGCAATATTGTGCAGATACTACACTGCCTATTTATTTATTTATTTTTAAAGGCAGTGTAATATCTGCACAATACTGTAGTTCAACAGGGCAAATTCACTCATTCCAAAATAATAACTACCTACACTGATGGTTTATGTTCCTCCACCAATTTGCTTGCTTCACCCTGAAATTCAGTGACTGTAAAATAGGTCACTCATGCCTTTCATTTAGTGTGGAGTTCTATGCAAGTCTGTGGTAGAGAGCAGATTGTAGTTGCTGAGTCACTGCATCTCAGAAGGAATGAAAGCATTGGGGTTCACTCATGTCACTGAGTTGAAAAGTTTTGTGAACTCTGGAAAGAAAACCATTGGCACTGCTGTGCTGGTTGTGGTGGTCACAATGCCAGAGTGGCCTAAATACAAGTTACACGGTAAAGAGTGGGAGAGTGACTCGACTCACCTGTGGAGGGAGATGACACAAAGGTTCTAATATCAGTGTAACTCTGAAATCAGAGCACAGTTGAATAATTTAATAAAAATCGAAACTGAATATGGGATTATACGATCCCGTCCTGCATCAGGACATCTTTTAAACTGTCCAGACTGGTATATCCTTAAAAAGCTGCTGGAATTCGTTTTGACTGTGTAAAGTTCTGTATTATATTCTACATAATGTACTTCATGAAAGACTTCCTCTAACTCTGTCTGAAGTTAAAGCGTGACATGAAGGTAACCGCATTATTGTTGTTGTTAAGACAGAAGTCAGAAGTCAGAAAGAGCTTTATTGCCAAGTATGTTTGCACATACAAGGAATTTGTTATAGTGTCACAAGCTTCCAGTACACGGAGACAACAACAACACACAGATAATAAAAATGAGATGTGAATAAAATACACATGCATAAATATAAACCACAAAAACAGAATTAATTGTATGTACAGGTGTGCTATAGATAGAATAGGAATAGAATAAAATACAATAAAAATAAGTTGTAGGGATGTACTAGGATTTAGGGTGATAAATAAGTATAAGGTTATTGCACATATTTTTATTGCACAATGGGAGAACATTAACTGTTCATGAGGTAGATTGCCTGGGGAAAGAAACTGTTCTTGTGCCTGGCTGTCCATGGTATTCGGTGCTCTGTAACGCCGACCAAATGGAAAAAATTAAAAAAGGAGATGGCTTTGATGTGAGGGATTCAGAGTGATTTTCTGTGCCCTTTTCCTCACTCTGGATGTATACAGTTCTTAGAGGGTAGGCAGGGAACAGCAATCCTCCTTCCAGCAGTCCGAACCGTTCTCTGTAGTCTTCTGTTGTAGCTGAACCAAACCAGACAGTTATTGAAGTGCACAGAACAGACTCGATGACGGCTGAGTAGAACTGCTTCAGCAGCTCCTGTGGCAGGTTCCATGATTTTCTGAGCCTTTTTCCTCATATATACAGTTCTGGAAGGGTGGGCAAGGGAACACCAATAATCCTTTCAGCAGTCCGAACCGTTCTCTGTAGTCTTCTGATGTCTGATTTTGTAGCTGAATCAAACCAGACAGTTATTGAAATCATATCAAAATCAATAAGTGCACAGGACGGACTCAATGACGGCAGAGTAGAACTGTTTCAGCAGCTCCTGTGGCTGGTTGAATTTCCTCAGATGGCGAAGGAAGTACAACCTTTGTGGGCCTTTTTAACAATGGAGTCGATGTGAGTGTCCCACTTCAGGTTCTGAGAGATGGTGGTTCCCAGGAATCTGAATGACTCCACTGCAGCCACAGTGCTGTTCATGATGGTGAGTGGGGGGAGTGCAG